GCGATCTGCGACCGACCGTTCACGGGGGGGGAAGTACGAGAGTGGCAAAACAACGACCAGTTTCTCTCTTCGGTCATAAAAAATTTAAACGCGCAACTTACGATAGCGAACGAAAAACCGGCCGCGGAAAATAAGGACGAATTTTTTTTGTTGGACGGAATCTTACGTATTCGTATAGGCGCTGACACACCGGTAGTCGTCCCCACCGACAAAGTACAACATATAATTTGGCGGTACCACGACGACCCCCTATCATGTCACCCCGGATGGAGAGAAACGCACCGAGCGGTCAAACAACGGTTCTACTGTAAAGGGTTAAGAAACGCCGTGCGCATGTACGTAAAATCGTGTCACATTTGCGCGTGCACTAAGCCCTTAAACAGGCGCCCCGAAGACCCGATGGTCAAGCGCCAACCCAGACAGCCGTGGGAAGTAATCAGTATCGACCTGATGGGACCGTACCCTAGAACACCAAGGGGCAAGACGAACCTATTAGTAGTAACTGACTGCTTCAGCAGGTGGACCGAAGCGTACCCCATAGGCGCACCTACAACGAAAACGATTGTAGACGCGCTAGAAAGGGAGTTCTTTTCACGCTACGGTTACGCGCGAGTAATTTTAAGCGACAACGGCCGTGCGCTCGTGTCCAAAGAAATGATCGACGCGATAAATCGGTGGGGGGCAGAGGCCTGGACTACACCGATATACCACCCACGGGCTAACCCAGTAGAACGAAAGAACCAAGAGTTAAAAAAAGGACTTCGCGCTTTATTAACAGAGTCGAGTCATACATCTTGGGATACAAAATTACCACCTTTGTTGTTCGCTCTACGCAATAGGCGCAACAAGAGTACCGGGNATAGGCGCAACGAGACTACCGGATACGCACCGTCCGTACTCGTATTAGGTAGAGAAGGTAAGAAACCGGGTGATTGGCTACTACAGCGAGTACAACCGGTAGCACCTGCTACTATCAATAACGACCGGTTAGAACGCGAACGACAAATCACTAGCACAAAAATAACACCGCCGACCGTTCATATCAAAACAAAATACGCGGTCGGCGACGTTGTGTACTATAAAGCGCATCACTTATCAAACGCAAATAGACAATTTTGTGCGGGTTTTGCACCGAAGTGGTGGGGCCCTGTGAGATTAGCCGAACGCCTCGGTAAAGGCGTGTTCTTAACGGACCAGTCCCCACCAAGGAAAATTCATGTCTCATGTATGAAAAAACAAAGTTAGTAGTTTTTTTTTTGTTATTTTTCAGCATGAGCAACAACAACCTAGCCACACCCTTATCCGTCGAGGAGGTCCAACGGTTGGTTGGCCAATTGGCGGGCCGGGTGGGCCTCCCGACGGACCCCCTCCCGCGCGTACTGCGCTCGGCAGAGGATGCTTCGCGCGCCCCCCTGCCCGAGGTACTAAGGAACCCTGTGGCTCGAGCCCATTTTGAACGGGTTGTGCGGGCGGGTCGCGAGGAGGTGAGGCGCGAAATACAAAACGCGCTAAACTCCCTCCCCCGCGCCTCCCCGTCCGCCAAGGGAGTCCAAGCGCCCCTTCCCCCAAAACCTCGTCGGGTGATAAATGTGGTGGCCCAACACTTTCCCCGCCCGGGGGAGACGTCCACAAGCAATATGCGGGTGGCTCCCTCCCCTCGGCCTCTACTGTCTTTCCGCGCTACGCGGCCAGACAGCGCCCCACCGACGTCACGCCGCCCGAAGCATCCATACGCCAGGGGCAGTGGAAGGTCCGCAGCGACGTCTACCTCTACGACTAGTAAAACTCCTCGGTACTACTCTCCGTCCGAGCGGGAACGCCGGACGAAGAAGTACAGGGAGTATATGCTTCGACGTTGGGGGGTCGTCGTCGATGAGGACCTTACACCGCCCATAACCCCGACCGCAACACTGCGGACAACAACAACAGCACCACCAACAACATCAACAACACCGACAACATCAGCAGCAACCCCAGCAGTGACAACAGCTATTGTCAGCCGGCCGTCGGGCATGTATGTGGACGGGGTGCTGGCGGCGTCAGCACCAGCAACGACACCAGCACAGGAGGAGCAGCCGGAGACGCCGATGGAGCTAGAGGACGACGGCCTGGTTCGGGAGATGGACCTGTTCCTCTCCTGCCCCACCTCCCCAGCACAGCCGGAGCCCCCGGCCGAGTAAGAGCTCCCTCCCACCACAAGCGCGTTACGCGCGGGGTCTATACCCCTAACCCCCTCCCTGTTGCGCGCACTCCGCGGGGCATTACCACCCACTCAATCAAACATACAACGTAAGTATTGCGGCTTGTTATTGCGCTATGCGCACTCTAATATATTCGACCAAACACGGAACGCCATATGCGCTATTTCATTTGATTTTTAGAGTACAGCGGTGGCTTGGTGGGGGGTATTTGACACGGCCACGGCGTTGTCACACGTTGACACCCCGCGGTCGTGTCAGCTCCTTCTCAGCCACCACTTCACTGTAACCGGACCGTCACACACACGCGTTATCGTCGTGGTATAAAGTCCAACAAATGCCTAGCGTCGGATACCCCGCCGCAATAATACGTCCAGTTAGTTATCTCTTGACACCACGACAGCAAGTTATCATCGTGATACCGATACATGATCGTCTTCCCGAATACCGAAAAGTTTGAATCGTTACTTCGGCACCTCATAATTTGCATTTTATTGTTAGTTTCAATCAATTTAGTCTAAGTATTTTGTGCGTATTCTGTTTGTTTCCTGTGTTATTTAAAATCAATAAACGGATCGACGCCACTCTCTTATTTCAACATCAACTAGTGTCAGCATTTGTACCAACACTTCTTTCAATCATCGAAACAGTTCTCAAACTTGATCTTTGGGATAGCCTTTAGCTCATTTAGCGATCAGCTTTTAATGTCATCTATGCTTGTAAAACGACGGTGCTTTAAGGTCCTCCTTATTTGTGGTAATAAAAAAAGTCACACAGAGCCATGTCTGGCGAATACGGAGCCTGAGTATCATTATACTATTGTTTTTCGCCAAAAATTCACGAACAAGCAATGAAGTGTGAGCAGGTTCATTATCGTGGTACAAAACCCATGAATTATTTGGCACAAATCCGGGCGTTTTTTTTTTTTATTGCTTCATGCAAGTGGCGTTGAACTTGTAGGTAGTACTCTTTATTGACCGTTTGACCTCGTGGCAAGAATACATGTATTTCTATGTTATTAAAAAAGAAGAACACCTTTACGTTTGATTGTACTTGTCGAGCTTTTCTCGGTCTTGGCGATCCAGAATGACTTCACTGGGACGATTGAGCCTTACTTTCAACGTCATATCCATAAACCCACGTTTCGTCACCTGCTATATCAAGTTTCAGTAATAATGTATTGTCATTGACTTGAAAAAATTTCATGACATGAGACAATCAATATTCCAACATCATCAGCCACTTTTCTGTGATTCGGTGATCGCTCATTAACATTTCTTTCATTTTTTCCACGTTTTCATTGGCTGTTGATGTGCTAGGTCATCCGGAGATTTCGTCATCTACAACGTTTTTACGGACATCTTGGAAACGCTTGTACCACTCGTAAACCCCTGTTTTACTCATGGCAGACTCACCATAGACGTTTGTTAAAATTTCACAAACTTTGTCATACTTTATTTAATTTTTTACGCAAAATTTGATAAAAATCCTTTGATTCATTATTTTTAACAAATGAAAATCATAAAAACACGTTTAACCTTAGTGACTGCCACTGACAAAGTTAAAATGTAGTCCAGCTGAAAAACTTTATTATACATCAGGGACATATGTATCAACATGATGAAAATTTTTTTTTCTCTCCAAACCCGCGTAATTTAAGGCTCTCTTAACCATTAATACTCCGGAACGGGTGGATCGTCCGTCGCCGGAGGATGGCAATTCCATAAGCCGAAGTGATCTCTCGCTCAGCAAATGAAACCGACCGTATCGAGTTTCGAACCCGAAGCGTCAAACATTGCCGCGTTACTGACTCGGCCACACCGCCCCTCGCCACGCTTTTCCATTACTGGAAATAAAAACTAAAACCGGAACGCTAGCACTGTTTGGCGGTTGGATTGCACGTCATAACGTTCCTTTCAATTTTACAAATGACTGAGGCGGGCGATTGCAATTTCTAGTATTTAAAATTTTTTGCTTCACTATTAGGCATGAAAAGAATTTCGCACGACAGTGTACCACACTGTTGCAAATGAGTTGGTTGAGCGACTACATCGACCAATAAAAGCTGCTATTAAGGCACATAAGATGGAATGTTGAGTAAAAGTATTATTTTTAATATTTTTAGACTTTAAAGCAAGGGTCCAACATGATTTAGGCGTTTTGCTTGCAGAAATCGTCTGTGGTTTCACATTTACACTTCCAGGTCAACTTATACATAATACTACTGTAAAGTGGTTTTCTTAATAAGAATTCCAAAAATTATTAAAATTAAGTTTTGATTATAGCGGTCGTCAAAAAACAGTAGACAATTTTAAAGTTGTAAACAATACTATAGAAAGATCAGTAAAATTAATTGAAAAGTACAACTTTTTTTTATCTTCAAAAAAAATTATCAAAAACAATATCTTTTGTAAGTTATTGCAGATTAAAAAAAATACTTTTCTGAGCAAAGAAAACCACACTAATGTAATACTAATTCATGATAACATTTTCCATTTATGTTTTATAAATAGTGTGATTTTTTAAAAATGTTATCATTTAATAATGATTTTTTCATAAAAATGTACAAATTATAATATAGTTTGATTTAGTTTTATCTTGATATAATAGTATTTGTATTAATAATTTTATTTTTTTTAAACCAAGAAAATGTTCATGACAATCCCGATTTGGTTAGTGTATTTTACAGGAATATTAATAGTTTTACTAAAAATAAGAATTATTTTTATTTACTTAAAATATTCTTTTTAAATTGAAAAATAAAAAAAATATTGTGTTGGGAATTTTTTATATATATATATATAGACCAAAGTAACAAAAAGATAGTCATTAGTTATTGACACTTAATGTAAAAATGGATGTGAGTAATACATTTTACATATAGTGCTCGATTGAAATTTAAATTATTATTTTATTTTATTTTAGAATTGGCAATTGACATATTTTTTGTTAATAATTTCCAGTTTGATATTTATTGAAGGTAAATTATATTTTACATCATTTGTACCTCATAAGTTTATCAACACTTTTCAAGAAATAATGAAAATTGTTTTTATTTTTTATAATATAATAATGAAATGTTTTAAGATAAGAAATATTATCAGGGTCATATTTAGGAATTGAGCCGCTCGGAACAATCAATTCCTACCAACCATAATGATTTTTTATTTTACTCTTCGAAAAATCGGTCTCTATTATTTTGATTTATTTTATTCAGTAAAAAAAAGTTATTCAATTTATTCTAATTACTTTAAAATATTATTATTCAAATAAAAATTTTTACCATTATATCTACTCCGTCGTCATTTAAAATACTTAAATTGAAAATAGTTGCAAACAGTGAATTTCAATGTTATTTCAATGACTTTTATTTGTGCATATTTACTGATTTTTCTTAAAATCCCATTAAAAAAAGAAATATTGACAATAGCATCTTTTCTCTGAACCTAAATATACATATAAAAAACGGTAGCACAGTGGGGTCGAGGCACAGTATAGACGTGGCATAGATGAGATAAGTATAGATGATATCTG